CTCCGGCGGGGAGCGTGGCCGCCGCCGCCGGCCCAGGCGGCGCCCCAGGCGGGAGACTCGGCCCTCGGGGCTCCTCCGCACCTCCCCGCAGTCTCCGGGGCTCCCAGCCGTCATCTCGCAGTCGTCTGGGCGCTCTGCGGAGAAAAGATGGGAGGCAAGGACTGAACCGACGGGCCTAGGTTCGGGGCGCCGGTCTCGGGGCCCAAATCCGGGAGGGAAGCTCGGGCCGCCTCGCCCAGGCCGCTTGGAGATCCCTGGCGGCCACCCCCGGATTTTCCCGTGCTGCGAGGCGGGGAGCCGCCCCGGCTCGGGTTTTCCGCAGCGGAGATCGGAGCCAGGGACGCGCAGCAGAAGCTCGAGTTGGCCGGGCCCGCGGGCGGAGACAAGGGAGGGGGCGCGGGCCCTGGCGCATCCCCGGCTGCGGGGCTCCGGCAGCCTGCGCCGGGTCTGCCAGCCCGCGGGTCCGGGCTCTGCAAGCTTGGGGACCCCGCAGCGGCGTCTCCAGGGTGAGTACCGCTCCGGCCCGCCTCCACCCCCGCACGTGGCTGCACGGGAGTAACGGAGGGAGGGGGCGCGCAGACCTCCCTGATCCGCACGGGTCACTCGCGGGCCCACCTCCCCCTACTGCGCTTCACATACCGCAGCGTGGGAAGGAGTGGGTGTCACCGCCTCCAGCCTCTCCCAGCCCGCCCCCTCCTTGCAGACCTCCTCAGTCAGCACTGGAGCTGCAGCAGGAGAGCCTTCAGCTAGACTCTGGGAAGACCGCTCTGGCCAAGACCAAGACCAGCCAGAGGAGGCGGCGGCGGACTTTGCCCAGGATTTCTTTCAACTCCACGCAGAAGAGGCTTGCCCCTCCCCCCGCGTCCCGGCTGGGCCCAGGGCAGGGGGCTGCCGGTGCCGAGCGCAGGGCCTCCGGGCTGACTCCCGTCCCAGCTCTCCCGTCGTCCCGGGCAAGGCTGTCCCCCGGTTGCGGCGTTTCCGATTCGGGCTCCTCCGGATGAATCATCCCCCTTTCCCGCCGCCTGGCCTCCTTTCCGGCCTCCTCCGCCCGAGGCCTCGGTGGCCCGCGTCCCAGCCAGAACAGTACCGCCCCTGTGCCTCAGGCCGCACAGCTGCTGACCCCAGCCGGGGCAGGAGTCGCCGGGCCGCGTGTGCGGTGGCCCCCAGGAGAAGGAGGGCGTGGGAGGAAGCGGGTCCCAGCCCAGGCACCCGGGGCCGCAGGACAGCAGGGTTAGGACCTCGCTGTCCACTGGTGCGTCCTCATGCCCCTGTCTGGTTTCTAAACAGCTGCGGCGCTGGAACCCACAGCCGAGGCCTCAGGGACGAGGCCTTACTCCCCCACGCACGGCTCATCCGCACCCCCGAAGCTCAAAGCGAGACACCCCATCCCTGCCTCGGACAGGAGCGCTGAAGGCCCGGGGCCTAGCGCGGAGCCGCGGCGTCCACCGTGCCCAAAGCCTGGTTTTCTCCGACGGAGACTGCGGCCCTGCCAGGGGTCACACGGCCGCACGAGGCAGGGGCGCCACCAGGGCCCTAGCCCCGAGCACGGGGCACCCCTCGGCACGGCCACGGGAGAGTCCTGGGAGGCGGCGAGGCCCGTCCCCGGGTCTCTGAGGAGGGAGCCGTTTCCCCTCCCCGAAGCCAGAGAAGTGACATCCCGTCTCAAGCCGGAGCCGGCGCCCCAGCCCCAACTCCAGAAAGGTCACCTTCGAGCCCCTGCATGTCCCTGCCCGGGGGAGGCACAAACGCGCGGAATAGAGAGATGGAGACGCACTCAGAGACCCCGGGACTCTGGAGGGCGTGGGTCGACGCTGGGGACCCTTGGGAGGAGGAAAGTTGAGACACAGCCCGACGGTCCCGGGTCGCTGGAAATTGTTGGGGCCGAGTCCCCTGTACTCAGGGGTCCCATCACCGCCCGCGATCACACTCTGGCCCGAGGGGGAAGGGAGGACCCGGCTGCCGCCCCCAGGGACCCTTCCCGAGGAGGCGCCAGACAAAAAGTTAGAGAAAGTAGGGGGCGACCCCATGGGCTCAAGTGGGTTCCACTCACCTGGCGCCGGAGCGCCCCGGCGGGTCGGGATCCGAGTCCGTGCGCCGAAGCTCCCCGCGCCGCCTCCGTCTCCACGGAATCCCCGCCCCGCCCCGCCCCGTCCCCCGGGCCGCGGCGCTGGGGTGGTGGCGGCGGCGGTGGCGGCCGCGCGGCTCCGGGCACTGGGCTCCGTCGGATTTCCGGGC